ATTATCACCATACTGACCACAGAGTGATGAATTGGTTGGCCACAGGAGCTCTTGAAGACTATCTACTGAGTTACAGATGGCTACTCACACCAAAGAAATTATAAATCTTTGAAATATTGGACTATGTGCAAAGCACTAAAGATACAAAGGGGAATCCAGGACATAATACCTGCCTTCATGGAACTCATAATCTAGTAGGGGATATATACAAAGCAAATACATAAATAAATATAATGCTTGTCAGAAGAAAAATCCAAAGAAGTTCAAAGAAAACAATGTGACAAATTTGAAGGAGGAATTACCTCTATCTTGCTGGGGTGGGGGTGGGGCAGGTAGTCAAAGAAAGTAAAGCTATCTGAATTGTACCTAGGAGAAATAAAAGGACCACAGTAGATGGATTTGGAGTGGGTGAAAAAATTCCATACTGGATACAGTAAAGAATATGAAAAAAAGCAGAGACTGAAGAATCAGAAATTGAATTTGAAAATTGGAAGAGATCTTAGCAGTCACCTAGTGCAAGCTATACCTGAAATGAATCACCACTGTAACATACCTGAGAAATGATCACTCAGCCTCTGTTAAAAGACTTCCTATGAGATGGACATTATTATTACTAGGAACATTGTCATGACATCAAACTTAAATTTGCCCCTTTGCATCTTTGATCCATTGTTCTTGGCTCAGGGGACAAAGAGACTAAATCCTTCTTCAGCAAGATAACCTTTCAAATGCTGGTTGTTTCAATCAGTTGATCCTCAAATGAAATAGAATCAAGGCCCTTTACTATCTTAGTTGCACTCCTTTGAATGCTCTCCCATTTATCACTCTGTCCTTTTTAAACTATGTTGACCGGAAATAAACATAATGCTCAGAAAGGGTCTGATGAATACAGCATAAAGGAACATTATGTCCTTACTCCTGGATGCTACCACTTTCTTCATGTGGTAAAGACTGCACTAACTTTTCTGGATGTTATATTATTTATAGTCCACTGAAACCCCAGATCTTTTTCATACAAACTACTATCTAACCATAACTCCATTTTGCAATTGTGAAGTAGACTTTTTGAGCCCAAGTATAAGATCTTATAATTGTTCTTATTAACTTCCATCTTTTTTTAGAATCAGTCCAATATTCTGGTCTCTCAAGATCTTTTGAGATCCTGGCTTAGTCATCCAGTATATTAGCTACCTCTCACAGCTTTGTGTCACATACAAATTTGATGACCAAATCACCTACTGTTACTAAAGTCACACTAAATAAGCACATAGATCCCTGGGGCATCCACTGGTGACTTTTGCCTCAAAGACATCAAATAATTAATGACTGCTCTCTAAGTCCAGCCGCTCATACAGCTCTGCTTCCATCTAATTGTATTCAGTCAGTAAGCATTTATCATGTACCTACTATGTACAGACATTATGCTAAGTGTTCTCCAAGTCTACATCTCTCCATTTTCTGTACACAGAATACTCTAACAAATACTTTGTGAAAAACTAGGAAAACCTAATCTACTGTATTCCCCCTCTTCTAACAGACTAGTAACCTTCCCCAAAAAAGTAAATAAGGATAGTCTGGCATGACTTGTTCTTTATGAAGCTATTTTTTTTTCACAGATGACTGGGTTTTATTCCAATAGAGCTGCTGTGGTTCACAGAGGCTCCAGGCCTAAGCCAAAGGTCACTAGGCCTCACATGGAATAAGAGGACATTTGGTACAACAGTGTTTGAGATCCAGGGTGACAGAAAATTATGCTGATGAGATGCCCCTCAATGGGTCAAAACCTGGAGCACTTAGCAGGGGAGTGCAGACATTTATCTCACACTTTCAAAGTATGTGTAAGCCACTCAGTGGTCTCTCGAATACAAGAAGTCAAAGAGCAACTTAATACAGATCTCTTTGATGTGGCAGTGGGCAAGAACATGGTGGGCACATAGCTCCAGAAGCTCAGGGGCCTTCATGCATTTCTCCATCTACTCACAGTACTCTCTCACAGTGGTGAGGGGGTCTATCAATTCTTTCTTCTCATCTTTGTCTTCCTTCTTGAGGTTCCTGGCATCCAGCCCCCTCTTCTCCCCCACGCCCCCCACATCTGGCATTCTCTCCAGCTTTTTTGTAATTCCCACTTCCCTTTCTATAGCTATACCGATTATCATTTTAATGGCCCATTCTAAAAATTTTCCAAAGAATCAAATTCAAGCTCACTGGTCTATAATTTTCAGACTGTTTTCTTTTCCCTTTTCCTAAAAATTGGAGCTTTCACCCCTCTTTTCATTTTGTGTCACCCCTCTCATTTTCCACAATCAACTATCACCAACAATGGTTCAGTCATTACATCTGTCTGCTCTTTCAGTCATTCAGGGTGTAGTTCATCTGGGCTAGGTAACTTGAACTCTATTACTATTTCCTTACTTCTCTGAGGTTCACACTCCCTGTTAGCCTGTTTTGTTCTACCATTTCCAGAGCAAAGATCATTCTCCTTGGCAGAGAAAACAAGCAAAACAAGCATTTAGGAGCTGTTCATTCTCTCTCATTAGTTATTGTCTCTTTTTCCATAAACAGAGATCTTGTCCCTTCTTTGATACTACTTCTCCTAAAATAACTTTTAAAACCCCACCTTTCCTTTTGTTATCCTTAGCTTCCCTTATTAACCTTAGCTCATGAGCTTTAACACTTCTGACTCCATTTTACTGGACCATGCTATGCTCTTATCTTCATCCTCTTTTAGTGGACTTTGTTTCTATCTTTTGTTTATATTTTTTAAATCTAAGCTGACTGGCAAATTCTCTCTGTACTCATATCAGTCTCTTCCAATAACTACAATTTTTTCTCCTCACTGGTGTAATTTCCCTTGGTATCTTCATAATTGCAGATATGAGAGGACAGAATGGGAAAAGGGGACAGTGAGACAACTAGTTTGACTTGAACATAGAGTTTGTGAAGAATATATTGAGACAAAGCTGGTAACATAGGAGGAGTCATATCATATATGATTTTGAATGCCAAACTAAGAAACATTGTAAAGAAGAAAGTCATCATATACACCAAAATATTTATGGCAGCATTTGTTGTGATTATTGCTGCTTGCTACTGTTTGCCCTTTGTTCTCAAAGAGGTCCATGACATCAGGGAGGTGATGCCATGACAAGCAAGTGAATTGGATTTAATTGAGGGAGGGCTGTGCAAAGTCACCAACCTCACTTTCTCCTCTGAGCCATCTGGATCCAGTGGCCAGATACAGATCAGGATGAGTAGAGATGGCCCAAGATGTAGTAAGGGACATTGGCCTTTTCAAGCTAAAGTTTTTACAGGTCTTAGTCTGACAGATTAAAATTTGCATTCCCTTTGGACAGAGCACCTGCAGAGGATGGACTCAAATGAGTAGTCAGTCATGAGGAAGGGAGACAAATTAGAAGGCTATTGAATTCCATGAAAGATGAACTAAAGGCACAAACAAAAGTGGAGATTGTATGAGTGAATAAAAGGGGACTTGCAAGAGATTCTGTCCCTCTCTAATAGTGAGATAGAGACTCTTGCTGGAACCCAGGTGGGTAAGTACACTTGCCAGAAGTGCTAAGCAAGCTCAATGGGTTGAGAAGAGGAAGTAACCCATGTTGCTAATTGGGGAAAACTGAGGGGTTTGCTATGCAAAACAAATCCCTCAGGTACTGAAATAAACAGTATCGCTTCTGAAGAATTGCTTCAAAGACCTCAATTTTTTTTTCAATCTCACTGCTTCACTTACTATCAGGAAGTATCAGGTAGTATCATCATGAAGTGGTATAAGCAGCAAATGAACTAGACTCACTAAGGCCTTGAATTCTAGGGCCAAGTGGAGAGAATGAGCTAATAGTACATTATTTGTATTTATTCTACTTTTAACATCTCTGATAAATCTAGGTTCTACTAAAAAGGACTGTTCACTGTCCATCTTACTAAAAGTTGCCCCTCTAGGGTCCCTTTTAGCTAAAACATTCTATGATCCCTTGATTCCACATGTAACCTTACCCCTATCCCTTGCTGCCTTCTCCAACAGATTTCCTCTTTATCATCCTTCTCCTTTATATTGTATTCAATCACTATCTTCCTTCTTGCCTACAAACACATGCCTGTCACCCCAACTCTCACTAAACACTACTATCCCCACTAGCTAAAGTCCTGTATCATTCTTCCCTTTTTCATCAACTGCTAGTGATTCAGTCCCCTTAGGCCTACTCAAGGTTAGCTGATACCTGGTCTTTGCCTATGTGTCACACACTAAACTGTTCTCCTCTCCCAGCCAACTATCCAGGTTGTCTTGAGCTGGAAATTTGTTTCACTTTGTCTTTTTATGGATTCTGCTGCTCTAGAATTTATTTAGAGCCATTTTTTACAGGTATTTGGAGGGGTTTGGGGGAGAGCTCAAGCAAGTCACTGCTTTTATTACACCATGTTGGTTCTACCCCACACCTCCTAAGTTTACCTTCTTGAAAAGCTGTTGTTCCCTACTGAGATTTTTCAACAATTTGGATGCTTTAATTTGTTTTTCATTGGTGTCCAATTTGCTTAAGTCAGGATGTTTTGATTTGAAATGACGATGAAGATTGTACTCCTTCAGAATGGCTATTACTGGGAGCAGCTAGGTGATGCAGTGGATAGAGCACTGGCCCTGAAGTCAGGAGGACATGAGTTCAAATCTGGCCTCAGATCAACACTTGACACTTACTAACTATGTGGCCCTGGGCAAGTCACTTAACCCCAATTGCCAAAAAAAAAAAAAAAAGAAATAAACCATCATGGCTATTACTCCTTGGCAAACAAGGCACAATATTTTATCTCTCATATAAATAAACAAGTATCTATTTGTCCACTACAGATTAAACACTTTATATTCTGATTTGATCTTCGGTGTCTTTTTATCACCCATTTTACAAAGTCACCCCAAAAACTTTAATGTCAGCACCAAAAAATCTCAGCAGCAACTCCTCACATACAAAGAAATACTGAATTGAGTTTCTTACCTTGGAGAGAGTACCAGACACTCCTGTAACTTGGAGGGGAGCTACGCAGCGAGAGAGAGGAGGAAACCTTCCTGTTGTTGCATGACGCATGGCTGCACTCACTTTGTTCCTGTTAACTGAAAACACAGCAAAAAGATACGACTCTTACTCTTCTCACACTAGAGACAGACCGATGATGGTTGGTTGCTGCAGGTCACATGACAAACAGGAGAGAGTGTGCAGTGGCAACCCACCCTCAAGTTACGTGACATATGATAGTGACTAGTGGGGGCATGAGAGTGACTAGTGGAAGGTGGGTGAAGAGGGCATGGACAAAGCACTCATTGAATCTTTACTTTCTTTTATATCTTCTACATTTTTTGCAGGCCAACCAAAATCCTTTGGCAGTCTATGAGTGGCCAGAGGGCCGTATGTTGTGCAGGCCTGATCTAGAGTATTGCAGTAGTTTCCTGACTGATTTTCTTGCCTCAAGGCCCTTCCCTCTACAATCCAGTCTTCACATAGCTGACAAACTTATTTTTCTAAAGTGCAAGTCTAATCATGTTGCTCTACTGCTCAACAAACTCCAGCGACTCCCTATGACCTCGAGTAACTAATATAAACTACTATTTTTAGCATTTAAAGTCCATGACAACCTGGCTACAATTATCTTTCCAGCTTTATTGCATAAGAATCTCCTTCCCAAACTCTGTGGCCCAACCAGACTGAAGTTCTTATTGTTCCTAATGCACGTTTCTCCCTTTAGATGAACCTCGTGCTTATAAAACAAAATATCCTCACTTCTGTTTCTCAGAATCCCTAATTTCCTCCTCAGTTCTGCTCAGGTACTACCTTCTACATGAAAGAGGTTTCTGCTATTCCTTCTATCTGTTATGTCCTTTCCCTTCCAATCACCTTCTATCTATTTAGTGTGAACCTATATAGGTACATGTTGCCTCACTTAGTTATCTTGTAAGCTTTTGGGGGCAGGGACAATTGCATTTCTGTCTTTGCATCCCTAATATTTAGTACAGTGACAGACACAAACAATCATTCAATTAATGCTTGATTGATTGATTGATCAGCCTATTGAAACAAAATCAAAGATTCCCTCTATATCACTAACAGGCCACGAATCATCCAATTCCTTTCAAAGATCATGGTGTAAAGTCAAGTTTTGTGGCTACTGAACAACGGTATTTCTACCATCACTAGTGGTATGAAACATAATGTAATACTGACAATAGATAGGCTGACAAAATTATATTTCTTCCCTTTGTTATTCCTTATTTCCTCTCTACCATCAGCACTATTCCCCACCCTTCTTTGCTTACTTGATGTACTGAATAACCTTCCTCCTAAAGGCCATTGAGGATTAAGTCAGCATAATATACAGTAGTAAAACTATTTGGTTCAGTGAACTGTAACCTATTTGCCTTTCAGAAAAGGCATAAATATGAAAGCTCTATGAAATCATTGCCATAAGTGTCCAGGGAACTTGAGTGAGTCTGGAAAACCTATACCCAATTAGAATTCTTGATTCTGGACTACCTAGTATTTTAATTACATTTTAAAGCTTACGTCTCAGAAACATGATAAAAGCATCATATACATGTTTGTTGACACATAAACTGGTTCACTAATTTTGACAGGACTGACTAATCAGTTTACTTAAATAACTAGTTAGCAACTAGTAAGTTCCATCAAGGCAGGCTTACTTGTATAGAGAGACACCAGAAAGTCATTTTGACCACAAATTTATCAGTTATTTGACTATAAGATTTCCATCTTGGTTTACACTGTAATTTCATTATTGTTTTGTGTGTTTGAATGTTTTGCCTTGGTGGGTTTTCTGGTTTTATGTGTCTCTGAGTTCACATTTAATTTCTGATAAAAAAAAATAATAATTGTAAGATTTTGGTTCAAATGAAATCAAACTCACAAATAAAAGTTAAAAGAGGCTCAGATGAATAATAGCTTATCTGAAAATTTTCCAGGGGGGACTATATGAGTAGACAGTTTTGCACGTCAGTCAAAAAAGCTAACGACCTTATTCTGGATTAATAAAGGCATAATGCTCAAGACTATGTTTGTTGAAATAAGTGAAGTGAATTGGATTGACAAGGGAGATGATATTCTTGTTGGACTCTGTCCTGTTCAGATCATATCTGAAGTACTATACTCAATTCTTAGTGCCACATTGTAGGCCGTACATTGGCAAACTGAAAAGCAACCAGAAGAAAGTGACTAGGATGGTTAAAGGTTATTTAAAATGAGAGACAGAGAGAGATATGTCAAGTTATATACTTATTAGGTTTATAGTTGTCATTAAAACACAAAAATAATAGACCCTAGGGTGTAATCAAATAAATATCTGATGTAGAAGATAGAAACTTTTGGAAATATAGAAAATTTTAATAAATATATACCTAGAAATGGGTAGGGAGAAAAAATAGAAAGCTTTCATAGCATAGCGACATCACTATACTATCTATTTTCTAACTAGTATAGATTCTTAAAAAAAAAAAAAAAAAAAACATTAGGGAAGTGGTCTAAAACCCAAGAAGGTCACCAGAGCTATTGCTGTTATGAGGCTTCTGAAAAGAATATGACTGAATACTGAAGAGTGGGGAGTTTCAGCCCTCAAAGTGGGAATTGCTCCAGTATGATGAAGAGAGAGAAGAAAAGCCCTATTGAGATTGTAGAACTAAAGCAAGTGTTTCCTAGTTCGAATTGGATATTCAGCTGATGTAGATTTAGTACTCTCAAGGCAGATGCATCCACCTCTCCATGCTGACAGCTGCCAGATGAAGATAGCATTGCTTGGGAAGAAAGAGAAATAGATCCTCTCCCTCTCCTTTTCCCTCCCTCTCTTCCTTTACCTATTCCTTCCTACCTTATCCTTTCCTTTCTCTCTTATCTATCTCTGTCCTTCTCTCTCTCTCTCTCTCTCTGTCCTTCTCTCTCTCTCTCTCTCTCTCTCTCTCTCTCTCTCTCTCTCTCTCTCTCTCTCTCTCTCTCTCTCTCTCTCTCTCTCCCCCATGTGTCTCTGTCCCCTATCCTCCTAACCTCCTCCCCCCTTCCCCATATATTCAGTTATACAATAAAGCAGATTTGTCATCCATGTAGTGAATCTCTTTCCCCCAAGGCTACCCTATAAGTAATTCCATACATGGTGGACTTGAGGGACAAAGAACAGAGAAAGACTCAAACAAAAAAGACTTTCATACAATTTATATCATAATTTCTCTCTGTCTTTGTCTCTCTGTTTCTCTGTGTCTCTCTATCTCTCTGTATTTCTTCTCTCTCTTTTTCTTCTCTGTCTCCTGTCTGTCTGTCTCTGTCTTTCTCTGTCTCTTTCTTTGTTTCTCTTTGTCTCAGAGAGAGAAAGAGAGAGAGCACATATCCTTCATCTCTTGATAACTCCTTGGTCAATTTGGATGCTGTGAAAAAGGAGAGAATCAAGTGGCACGACAGGGAGAATTCTGAGTTAAAGCAATAAAAGTACAGGCTATAGAAACCCTGGCCATTGTAAGGTTAAAATCATTTGGGTGCTGTTAATGATTTATTTACTTGTGTACCTAGGAGATCCAGGAAGTCTGTTTCCCTACCTCTCTCACAGGCTTTCAAGTTAAGCAAAATATTCTCCTATCCCTGTGAATTGGTGCTTTTTTTTTTTGTTCTAATTAAGATATTTTACATCCTCTGGCTTTACTTTAAAGCATGATTTCAGACTTCTCTTTTCCTGGTTAAATTCTCTCATTTAAGCACAGGAATGGACTTTCTTTTCCTCTTCAGAGAAACACATTCCTCTAGACACAAAAGGGAGAATTTAAAAATTAACTCTGAAACAAAATTGTGCTAATGTGTTTGACCTTCCCTGAGGTTTAGTTCCTTTTTAATGTTGGTTTTTTTTTCAGTCATTGTTAATATTCCTTTGTGCATGATACAGGTGAGAAAGTTATAGCCTGGTGATTTTTGTAAATGGGCCATGCTATCCAGAATAGAACTCATCCACTTTTCCTCCCTTTTTTCTTTACCTTTTATTTTATTCTTTACCTTCTCTCTACTCTGAATAGCACTGTCTGTCCCTCTGCTCCTATTTAAGTAAGGGAGTTCTAAACAAAGTCAAGTATAGTCCAATCTAGAAGCCATCTTAGAGATAATTAATTCAGCCATCTCATTTCCCAATGAAGAAACTGAAGTCACTTTTGCATATTCTCCTTAGTCCACATCAATCACCAACAATCTATTATCTTTTGGAGCTGAGGTCAATATAATATAAATCAGTGATTATCAAAATTGTTATTGATTAAAAAAAGGAAAGAAAACTATTTCAGTATAATAGGCCAAGTAAGCCCTAGAAAGAATCAAACATGGTAGTCCGCTGTTTGATAAACCAAAGAGCATAAACAACTCCCTGTTCTGAAAACTGGAAAGTTGTTTGACAAAAAGCAAGTTTACACTGTCCTCTTACCACCATATGCCACAATATCTTCAAAACAGATAAGCAACTTAAATATAAAAAATCAAATCATAAAAAAAAATTAGAGGCAAATGGAAAAAGGTGACTTATACAAGTATACCTGGAGAAACATTCTTAATCAAATAGGGAACAGAGGTGATCATTAAGAAAATAATAATAATAAAGATTTCAATTAAATAAAATTAAAAAGATTTTTAATCAAAAAACAAAAACAAAAAACCAGTGCAGTTAGAATAAAAAGAGAAAGTGTTACTTGGAGAAAATTTTTTCCAGAGTGCTGGATTTGGAGCAATGAAGACATGGGTTCAAACCCTTCTTCTGACACATACTAGCTGTGCGACCCTGGGCAAGTTACTTAACCTCTCAATGCTCTGGGCAGCTACATAAGACTATAAAGTGCAGAGGTGTTAACCTACATGACAGAAGGCATTTCTTCATCTGCGTATTACCTTTACAAATGAAATAAGCCAAACCCTATCACCTACAAAAGCCTGATATCCTAGGTAAATAAGAATTTAACAGAAATATCTAAGACCAAGAGCCATTCCCCAAAAGATAAGTGATCAAAGGATATTAATAGTTTTAGAAATATGAGCAAAGGAGAAGCAAAAAGAGATGAGTTTGAACCTTGTCAGGTCTGAACATTG